CACATCCACTACCATCAATCATGTCCGACATTCAACTTGGCGATGACCGCACTGAGCAGCGCCCTCAGGCGCAGACACCCGGCCGCTCGTTTGCTTACGCCGACAGCGAGGCGACGGAGAACCGTGACGAGGAACAGGTTAAGGCCGACAACGAGCTCGCGGAGAGGTTAGCTAGGGTCATCGAAGACGGTTCGTAGACCCGTCTTGTTCATGCGGGATCCTGCTAACGAGTCTGCCGGTCCGCAGCGAACAAGCGCGTTGTGCCGCTCACGAAGATGATTCGCCAGGTCAGGAAGTATATCGCGTCTCCGTTGTCCAGTGACTTATATCTCTCTAGAATATCGAGCACTTCTTCGATCAGAAGGAGGAGGATCGCAACGAGGACGAGCTGATCAAGGCCGTCAAGCCACTCATCGAGCAATCGGAGAAGATCCTCTACGAAGCCAACGGTTCCATCAAGGGCGCTGACCCCGATAGTCGCCTCTCTAACCGCGCACAACGGCACGCGGATGACCATAAGGCGACGCCCGAGGAGCAGCGCCTGGCAGCGGCGCTGAAAGTTGTGCGTTTTTGAATGTATTCATACCGTGTATCATGGCTGATCTCTGTCGCTAGCTTATTGAGGAAGTTGGCGGCACGATCGACTGGGCGAAGAACAAGATCAACAGCCTGACCAAGGCGAAGAACGAGCTTGGGCCACTGCTTGACGCGCTCGGGCAACCGCTCACGCAGATCGTTGGCGGCGTCGGTCTATTGCTCGCGGGTGTACTGAACCTCGTCGGCAAGCTAGTACGTGAAGAGTGGTCCTCCAGATCAAGTACGATACTGACATCATGCGCAGCTCTCTGGTCTTGGCCTCGACGGTCTACTGACAGGTCTGCTCGGCGCGACGGGCCTGAAGGGCATTGCGAAGAGTCTTGGGCTCGGCAAGTACTTCAACTATTCGTAGAACCTCACATTGTAGCACGTAGCAATTTGTACCATAATCGCAAAAACGGACAAGTGTTGTATATCAGTTGTATTTTGAGACGCCGAAGTATATAGGTCATGTCATCGCATCCGTGGTCCCAGTATAGTATGTTTGAGATTATTGTTAAAACGATGGCCAATGCCCACACGCAGCAAGCCCGCATGGCGGCACGAAGGACTCCGAAGGATATAAGCTTTTGGCAACCGTAACTAAGTATACTGTACAGACCGGTTAGGGCTTGGTTAGGGCTTCGCGCCCACCAAAGAACCCAGAACTCTGGGAACTCCGCACCGCGTCGTCGACGCGATGCGGTTGTTTGAGCTTGGCGGTCCTCGGACGATGCGGTTGCGGCGCGGCTAACGCCGAGTCCGCCGCGGCGTCACCCGTCCCTCGGAGCCCTCGCGTCGTTGAGCGCTGAGCCTCCGCGCCATGTATGCGGTCGAATGCGCGGGACTCAGCGCCCCAGCCTGCATACGCGCTGAAGGCGTCGGCTTGGCCACAGGTGAGGAGACGCACCGAAATGCAGACCGACCGCCGCGGCGCTGCGGGGCGGGATTGATCGCCGATCAAAACTCCCGCCTC